ACACTCCATAGAAACTCTATCAGCCACAGAAGTAACATGAATTGAAACAAGTGTGTCCCACAAACTTTTTGTGTTTATTTGTTCCTTTATAATATTCTCTCTCTTTCCTTCCTCTGCCAAACTCCCTCTTCTTCTGGTCAATTCACCCTTTTAAGTGACCATGTGTTCCTGTCAAATACAGATCATCCCAAACTAAGATTAATTGATGTTCCTGATAACTTAATATCATAAGCATTCATATCATCAACTGCAAATAGAAAGAAGTCAAGGATCTGATTTTGAAATATGGGAATATGTTCATCGGGAAAGAACAGAGGAAAAGTCCAAAATCACATATTACCTAACAATTTTTTAACAATGTTTGAAGAGCCTATAAAATAACTGTATTAGTTTCCTAATACTGCTGTAACAAATTATCACAAACTTACTGGCTTAAAACAACACAAATTAATTATCTCACTGTTCTGGAGATCAAAGTCTGAAATAAGTTTCACTGTGCTCAAGTCAAGGTGTTTGTAGGGCTACATTCCTTATGGATGCTCTAGAGGGGAGCTGGTTTCCTTGTCTTTTCCATTTTCTAGAGGCTGCCCACACTCCTTGAGTCATGGCCCTGCATCCCTCCCACCTCTCTCTGACATCATAACCCCTTCTCTGACTCTCACTCTGACATTCCTGCCTCCATAAAGACCCTGTTTTCACTTGGGATATTTCAGAAAAATCTTTGCATCTCAAGTTCCTTAACTTAATCACATTTTCAAAGTCCCTTTTGCCATATCAGGTAAAACATTCACAGATTCTAGGGATTAAGAGAAGTGGACATCTTTGGGAGGCTAGTATTCTATCTTGAACAATAACTACCATCAGTCTAGTGGATTGAGTCTAAGAAAAGAATAAGACAGGAGTTTTGTCTACAAATAGTTGTCAACATGGATCTTTTTGTGTTAGACTCTCCTCCTGATGTTTGCATTAATTCATGATATATTAAAACATTCTGATTCTTGGATGTATTTAAATCAACTTGCCAGTGGTAGATTGTCTGCAAAATTATTTCTCTCCTCATATCCATTTACCTTTGTGAGTTTGCAATTCCTCCCATCAAGGCTATTTTAACACATTATTAATCTGGTTTATTTTGTGACTATTTTGACAAATAGAATAAAGAGAAGTGATGTGTAAGTTCTGAGCATAGGCCTCCAGAGGCCTTATGCTGTTCTACTTTCTTTCTTGAAACTCCTATGGCATGTACTAAATCTGGGCAACCTACTGAAGGAGCAGAGACCACATGGGGCAGAGCTGAGTTGTCCCAGCTCTGTAGCCATCCTAGAACAGTCAGATTCCAGGTGACTTGGCAGCTGATCATAAATGCAGGAATGAGACCAGATAAACTTCCCAGCTCACCAGAGACTCTTAAGCAATAATAAATGCTTACTGTTTAAAGCTGCTAATGTTGGAGTAGTTTGTTATACAGCAAATGCTAACTGATACACTGCCTTATATAATAACAATTTCTTAGTGTTGCAAGTGGGTATGCCATTCTTTCCAAGATTTATGATCTTAAAATTCTTACGGTTCTTCAAAACTCTTTTAAAATCATGTTCTATATCATTTATTTGGGATAATGCCTATGTGAATTTATGTTTATGTGAATTACAGTCTGCCTCATGAGCATAAAAACCTTCAGTTTAAAAATTCATTCTAAGTAACTTTTACAGGGTGCTCTAGAAATGATAACAAAAGGTTATGTCTCTTTGGAAATTATAAAATGTTAGGCAAAATTATTTTAAGAATTTCTCATTAATTTTCTACTGCAAGCATATTACGATAAATTGTTTAAAAAAAATGCCCTGGAATACACTGAATATTTGGGGGGTTGATATCATCTTTCTCTAATAAGCTTGAATACTTATAGAAAATAATATTGACTCTTTTGGTTTCTTTTCTCCATTAACAAATATTTTTCTAAACAAAACTATCCTCAAGTGAACACTTTTTAATAAATACAAGCATATCTCAGAGATATTGCTGGCTTGGTTCAGACCACTGCAACAAAATGAGTATTGCAATAAAGCAAGTCAAATGAATTTTTTGGTTCTCCAGTGTATATAGAAGTTATATTTACATCATACTGTAGTCTTTTAAGTGTGCAATACCATTATGTCTAAAAAAATACCTTAATTAAAAATTAATATCTTAATTAAAAATACTTTCTGGCTACAAAACTCTAACCATAATCTCAGCAAGTCATAATCACTGGCCACTGATCACCATAACAAATACATTAATAATGAAAAAGTTTGCAATATTTCAAAAATTACCAAAATATGATATAGAAACATGAAGTGAGCAAATGCTGTTGGAAAAATGGTGCTGATAGACTTGCTTGATGCTGGGTTGCCATCAACCTTCCATTTGTAAAAAAAAAAATACAATATCTGCAAAGTGCAATAAAATGAAGCACAATAAAACAAGGATATATGGAAAAGATGGATTTTGATTTTTGCTGAAGATGCTTTAAAAAATATGTGTGTGTGTATCTGCAAATATATATACGCATATAAAAAATATTCCACACTTTAAACGGTTCTACAATTCTACATTGAACCTCAATGATTTTATAAAATTTTTCTAAAAAAGTTCCTATTGCTGAAGAGTTTCCTTCTACAGCAACACTGAAATGCAGTTTATTGTTTATTATTGAGATGATTTACTAAATTGCAAGAACTTTATCTGAAATTATTTTCTGTCCTTGATTTTAATATCATAAATATTGAATATCTTTCCCCACATCACCAGTATCTCAATAGAGAGCCTCTATAAATATAAGTATCATAGTTAAAGGTAACTAAAATATTTTTGCACATTTGTGCAAATAAATATTACCTCATTATTTTATAATAATAAAATGTTGATATGAAAAGGAAGAAAAAGATCCATAGAAACAAATGGTTAAGTTGTATATAGTTACTATGCTTTGGTGTGAAGTATAAAATTTCAAACTGAGTTGAACTAGGATTCTTTTGCATGCCTAATGACATACAAAATACTTCATTAGAAGAAAGCAAGTTAATTCCTCCCTTGATTCTCATTTTTCTTTTCCTTTTTTTTCTCCTTGTTCTAGAAGTCATATGAAATTTATGTAGGTTTTTGTAAACCTTCATAATACTCATTTATGTAAACTGATTATAAAAATCATGTGTATCTGTTGTGGATGAGAAATTTCCAAGTGCACAATCCATGTTTCATACATTTAAAGAAATAACATTTTACAACACAGTACCATAGAATACCTAGAATACAGTGTATTAAATATACTAACCAAATTTCATTTTTACTACCTAAATGTTGTTTTCATGTATCTGTTTCTTTCCATAATTATTTTTATGGACACTAGATCCAAAATCACATACCATACCAATAGTAGTATGCTCAAATGTCAAACAGAAACTCTTATTAATGTTTCATTTTTTTTTTTACTATTACAGTTAAGCAGCTACCCCTACTCCAGATGAGGATGTTATATTACATAATTTCTAAGGATTATTTTTTCTGCTTTTGGCCATTTCTTTTGTCAGTTGTCTTAAAATGTCCAAAATTGTTACACTAAAGTCAATAGATATTGAATAGAAACCTTTTTATGGCTTTACTTTACTTAATTTATTAATATAAGAAAGAAGTGACATTGGAAATATCTATGTTAGGTGTACCTCAATCTCTAGACACCCAACTAAAAGATATTATAAAACTACAAACAAAAAGGATTGTGCTTGTATAATAAAAAGGAAGGAAAGAAAGTTCTCAAATTAGGGACTGGCAAGTGGTTGCATTTTTGAGAAAACCTCTAGTTTTAACATAACCTCATTCATAAATGTAACTTCATATTCCTTATTCTCATTAGATCAAGTTGAGTTATTTGAGGTACAAGAATAGTCTCATTGTAAATACAAAATACGTCCCAATAGGAAAACTGGGAACAAGTATTAGCAAAATAATTTATTTTGAAAAATTTTCTATTTCTTTGAATCCTGTGAATGCTAGTTATCCATTAAGAAGAGTAGGACTGTACCTTCCTGATAAGTGTCACTAGATAAAAAATATTAACAAAGCATGAAGTTTGCTTACCAATGGAAAACCTGAGATCATTTACTAATTCTTTATTAAATTAAACTCTAATCTCTTACAAAAGGGTCCTAATGGGTGTCATAAATTCAAGCAAATCCAGTTTAAACAGTAGTTGCTTTTAATTGAAAACAGAAGTATAAATGTGGTCTTCATTAATAATGTTGCTAATCCTGTTTCCTGCATTTGATTAAAGTCCCCTTTAGCTAATAGACATGTTTTATATGTGACATGATGGTACACCACAATCATGAAGCATGATCATCATCTCCCACAAAATATTCCAAACTCTATGCCTAGTAGTTTAAATATATTATCAATAATCCTCACAATATCCCTCAAAGCAGCAAATTAAGACGTGCTTTCTCAAGGTTAAGTGTCATGCAGCTATAGAAGTAAATGGCAGGTTTTAGGATTAAAATCTAGTTCACTGTGGTTCCAAAGCCCTCACTTGTTCCATTTCAACATCATTATTGATAAATCCTCACTGAGCTCTAGCTAAACGCAGCACCCTTTGTTATATGTCTGAAGTACAAAGAGTGGTAAGAAATTGTCCCTGCCTCTAAGGAACTTACAACCTAGTTATGGAAACAAGGCACATACAAAAAGAAACAGCCTATCAGAGCTGTTTTTATGGGACTGAAGGGAGGTTGAGTCCTTACTGGAACAGCCCAAGAAGAAGTCAATGATAGAGGATGCCACATTTCACACAGTATTACACAGTTGCTTCAAGACATCTGTCCAGATACAGGTGAGTAGAACACACACACACACACGCACATGCACACACACACGCACACACACACACACACCAGTACATGCTTAGAAATAAGTGGCAGGCTAGGCAAGCTTGTCAACTGCAAATTTCAACTCTCAATTCTTACCTTTTGGCAGAGCTCGGCTGGTCTGTTTGCACTCCTAGGAGCCTCAAACACACTTCTCAGCTCATCAAGGGCAATGGAGAAGCGTTCGATCCTGCGCCGACCAGTCAAGGAATCCTCCTTCAGCACTTCAGGCCAGCCAAATTCCCCGGAGTTGTCACTCTTGTCCTCAGGGCCCTTCCCATCAGGCTCTGTGTTCAACGTCTCTTCTACACCGTGGGGCTGATTAGGGGGATCTGCAGGTCCAGGTGCTGACACTACTTCTCCTTTTGGTTCGAGCAATTTTTTTTCTGGAGGCTGAAAGAGCCTGCAACGACTGCCCCCAGGGCAACACTCACTTTTCTGGTAATCACTGGATTCCCATTTCTGCCTCAGGAGGATCAGGGAACCCTTCTGTATCGGGAACGTGGATGGCTCCAGCTTGTCCTGCAATATCAAAAGTATCTTTCATCAAAGATACACTCAGGCATGTGAGTCATTTTCAAAATGAGTGCCCGCTCTTGGGGTTTGTGTTTCAGTGGAGAAATCCAGCTTTGCTATGTAATTTCTGGCTCTTGACTTGACCCTACAAAGTATGTCAGTTAACTTAGATTATGGACAGGACTGATTTGTATAGCCATGGCCATTTGAAAATAAAGAGACAAAAACTAGGAAGACATTATTTTATTCTCTTTTCTATTTAAATCACCCAACAATTATTTACATAATGTTCCTTCACTGTTCAGTATACTCTGAGAAAAGCGCAATTTAACAAGTCTAACACGAAATAAAAAGGTTCATTTCCTGCCTCTAACAGTTTAGGACTTCTTTTGAAATTACTGGTTTCTGCAAATGTCTAACTTCACAAGTAATAGACTAATAGCTAACAGTTATTAAGTTTTTGCTATAAGGCAAACCCTTTGATAATAATTTTATATGTACATCTCATTTTAATCTTAACATCATCCCATGCTACTATGATGATTATTTTCCAGGTAAGGAAGCTGAGAAGTAATTTGCCTAGAGTTCTGAGTGACAGTGTCTGGATTTGAAATGCACGTGTATGACTCCAAAACCTGCCCTCTTAACCACTGGAACCTAATGTCTGTTTTGTATTTTTAGCATTCAAGTCACATCTCATTGTGAACCTGATTAGAATTTCACCTTGTTTTAGAGTTCTGTGGTGAATGGGAAAAAAAAAATCAAATGGCAAAATATACCCTTACCAGAAACAAACCCACACATACACATACAAATCACAGACAGCAAGAATTACACACTAGCATAAATTTTTGTCATAGAAATAGCTACTTTCTATTCTAATCCAGAGATTCTACACTACAAATTTGGGGTGTTAAAAAATAAAGCTTGAAAATAAATAAACAAACAAATAAATAAATTTTGCTCTTGAGGGATGATGAATTTTCCTGGAAAATTAGCAGAGTGGGTATGATAAACACTCTCACTTAGATTGAGGCCTGGAAACATCTCAAAAAGTCACCTAATACAATGGCTCCAGAACTCTTTGGCTGTAAACCACATGATAAAACACATTCTATGCACCGGGACTCAGCACACCCACAACATAAATAAAAAAATAAGAAACAAATTTTTGCTTTCATTAAATACTTTCTTTTACTATGTGAACTATCTGGTGATGTTTTCCACTCTGATATCCTTTACTTAAAAAAAAAAAAAAAAACTTGCTACCCACTAAATTGATCTAATGGTCTACTAATGGTTCATGGACTGCTGGCTAGCTCTACTTAGAGCAGGAGTTCAAACCCAGGTTGGGTTTTATGAACAGTGAGACTTTGCAAAAGCTCCATTTCTAAAATGGATTTATAAACATCATGGCTTTATTTTGAAAAATACATTAGATAATGCATATAAAACTTCCGGGGTATATTAGACACCCCTCCCCCGATAGCTCTTAATTCGATTCTGTGTCCCATCTCTTGCTAAAACATCATTTGAACCACTCAAATATTTATGCTACACATAAGCCTCCTACACAGGAGTGCTTAGAAGAGGGATGAAAGTATTTTAAGCCACAAATCCATAGACTGAACAAACTGGAAAATTTGGCTTTAATAATATTGCTAATTAATAAGTTTGGATTAGTCACTTATTATAGAAAGTCTCAAAAAACAGTAGCACCCAACAAGACCTGAATATCTGTTTGGAAAACTGATCAGCATATGCTGAGAATCTAATCAACATATGCTGGAAATGTCTGTGACTCATGTGTAAATGGACTTCAGAAAAGATTTTATTAACAAGGGAATGACTGAGACATTGTCACAGCTGGTAATAGTGACCTTGTAAGGTTATTTAATGAAAGAATTGTTCCTGAGCCTACCTTGCAGAATTAGAAACAGAAATCTAGGAAGAAGAAAAATTGCCAAGTAGGGGAGGAAAACCATTTTTTTCTCCTATAGAAAAAAAATCCTAATATTTAAAACTGATTTGGAACTTCTGATTCTAGATAAAGATGGAATAGACATACTTTTCTCTTCCCTCCTAGTAAATATGGCTAAAACCCCTGGAAATTATATATAAAACCAACATAAGAGGACTTTGAAAGATAGAGAGAAGGCAGACTGCTTGGTACTTTGAGATTTGAGGAACAATATGGGGGTGAATTCCCTGGGTTTTCTTTCAGTCTTATATAGCCAGAACTTGTTGCTGGAAGAGACAGTAGCCCAACGACTCCTTATGGGAACAGAGAAGCTTCCCCAAGAAAAACCTCACTAGCCAAAGAAACAGGAAATGAGGCAAATTAGCATGACAAAAAATTTTAGACCATGATTGCCATACCCCAGGTAGATACTGAACTATTTTTGCTCACGATACATGTGTATGTGTGAGGTTTTCTTTCCCTACATCAATCAATTGTCCAACTCTCTGAATTCTAAGTTGGTGTCCTGTGACTAACCACCTGGCATTAGCACAGATTCTAAATATGAAGGTCTCAGTCTCCTAACACTGCCCCCACTTCAGAGACCAGTCACAAGGACACAGGTTGCCACCTATACTTCTGACCAACTGGCTATCAGTTGGCTATCATGATCCCTCTACTCAGGTTGGATAATTTGTTAAAATGATTCACAGAACTTAGGATGGCACTTTACTTATATTTACCTGTTCATTGTAAGGGATGCAACTCAGGAATAGCCAAATGGAAGATATGCATTGGGTAAGATATGAGGTGGGTAGTACAGGGCTTCCACGCCCTCTTCTAGAGCACTGGTCTCTCAGAACCCTGATGTGTGGTTGGAATTTATGGAGAGATTTTATGGAGGTTATTAGGGGATTTTATGGAGGTTTCATTATAAGCACGATTGATTAAATCATTGGCCATTGGCGATTAACTCAATCTCCAGCTCCTTTCCCCTCCTTAGAGGTCAGGGGTGTGGTTAAAAGTTCTAACTCTCTAACCATGTTTTTGTCTTTCTGGTGAACAATCCCTATCATGAAGCTCTTTAGGATCCCAGCTACCAGTCATCTCATTACCATACAAAAGATACTCGTCTCACTCCAGAGATTCCAAGAGTTTTAGGAGCTGTGTACCAGGAACTAGAGACAAAGATCATTATATATTTATCACAAACACCCTGAAAAAGGCCAACTTTGCTCCTTGTTGTCCCCTCCTCCCTCCTACCACCATAATGGTGTCAGAGAAGACTGAGTGAGGAGCTAGGATTTTCATTCCTGCTCCATGATAATGAGAAGTCTCTCCAACATGTCAGTGAAGGCCTTGTGAGGATCATGCAGTTTGGCACTACCTGGAGATAATGAGATATTTCTCCTCCTCCCCTTCCCTGCTTATATCAGAGGGCACAGAGTTGGCAGCTACAACTTTCACCATCATCCACTGTTGGTAAGGTTTCTCTTCCAATGATAGTGTCAGTGGAACTCACAAGGAGAGCAATAATGCCGGGGTTGGGGGTGGGGAATGTAAACCAGGGTGATATCAGTGAAATCTCACTGCTGCCTAACAGTAATGGATCACTTCTCCTGGCAGTCAAAGGAGACTAACTGGGGAAACTGGACTTCTCCCTTGAAAATAATAAAGCTTCTTCTCCCTTTATCTTCTGAAACAGATACAAGTAAGATCCAAAGTTTATTAGCATAACTGCCTAAATGTCCAGGATATAATTGAACATCACTGGTCATACCGAGAGTCAGGAAAACCTAATCTGAAGGAGAAAAACAATCAATGGACACCAACACTGACATGACTCAGATATCTAGAAACCTCTGAATTTTAAAGCAGTCATCATAAAATTGCTTCAACGAGTAATTACAAACATGCTTGAAATTTTTTTAACAATGGAAAAGTCTCAGCAAACAGGTGATATAAAGAATAATCAAATGGAAATTTTATAATTGAGATATATGCATAACCAATAACAAATTCACTGGGTTGTCTCAAAAGAATGGAAAGGATAAAAGAAAAAGACCAATGAATTTGAAGATAGAATGTTAGAAATTACCCAGTGTAAACAACATAAAGAAAATACAATGAAAAAAAGAAAAAAGAATAGGACCAGGATCTAGGACCAGAGATCGTAACGAAAGATCTAACATTCATGTCACTGAAGTCCCAGAAGAAGAGGAGAAAGATGGTGGGGCTGAAAAACTAGTCAAAGAAATCATGCCTGGAAATTCCCCAAATTTGGCAAAAGACATGAACCTGTGGATCAAAAAAGCTGAGCTAACCCCCAAGACACATCAAAATCCAATTCCAGAAAACAAAATTAAAAAAAAAAAATCTTGAAGGCAGTAAAAAGGAAATGACTCCTTACCTTAGGCGGGAAACAATTTAAATGACAGTAGATGTCTCATCAGAAATTGTGGTGGCTAGGAGAAAGAGTCACAATATTTTTCAAGTGGTAAAGAAAATAACTACCAACCCCAAATTCCGTTTCTACCAAAATTATCCTTCTAGGAATGAAAGAAAAATGATGACATTCAGCTGAAGAAAAACTAAAAGAATTCATTGCCACCTAATTTACCCTAAAAGAATGGTTAAAGGAGTTCTTGAAATACAAAGGAAATTATAAAAGAATTTGGAACATCAGGAAGAAAGAACAATAAAAAGATAAAAAATCATGTTTAAATATACTAGACTTTCTCCTCTTAAATTTCCTCAATTATGGTTGATGGTGGAAGCAAAAAGTACAACATTGTTTGATATGGTTCTCAGTGTATGTAGAGGAGTTATTTAAACAATTATACTATAAATTAGGAAGGGTAAAGGAATAAAAGAGGTAAAGTTTCTACACTTCACTCCAACTGGCAAAACACTGACACCAACAGACTGTGATAAGTTATACATACACAACGTGATGCCTCAGAAATCACTAAAAAAAGTCCAGCATGTTTGTGATATGTTAAAAACAACAACAAACAAACAGGTAAATCAAAATGGATTCTAAGAAATACTCAAGTAACTCACAGAAGTCATAGAAAAGGAAAGAGAGAAACAAGCAAAAAAACCCCAGAGAAAACAAAAACAAACTGAAATGTCAGGGTTAAGCCCATAATATCAATTATTACATGAAATTTAAATGATCTAAAAACACCAATGAAAAGCTAGAGATAGCAGAGAACATAAAAACCATTTTCCAACGTA